GTGGTCCAGTACTTATCCTACAGTGCCACACCAATGACACAAATTAAAATTTGATTAATAGAGGTTCCTGAGAGTGGTGGAGGACAGGGCATTACTGTTTGCATAATTCCAACTCTACCTTGTTGCTAAGTGCCTGTGAGTTGGTTCCAACTCATACTACCCCTATATAAGGTTTTCAAGAAGTAGCTGGTGAGTTTGAACAGCCGACCCTGTAATACACACCAACCTTGAGGTCCAGTGCTTTATCCCATAGCACCACACCAGTATTAACGATATTATCATTGTTGTTACATGCCATCAGTTCCAACTCATAGCGACCCTATATTGGGTTTCCAGAGCAACCTTGTGGTTCAAACTGACCTTGTGGTCCAGTGCATTATCCTGCAGTGCCACATCAGGACTACACCTTAGCCTTATATTATATTTTAAAAAGCCAAAGGAAAAAGAAAATTATGAGAAAAATATAATAACTATGTCTGAGTCAGAAGATCAGTTTCTTCACATAAGAACTTAGAAAGATATTCACATACAACAGCTTTTCCATAATGGTTCTTGTGTATTTATTTGATAGTGCAATAAAATGCATTTCAATCTCTCTTAGGGCTCAAAGAGGAATATATTTTAAAAGATGTAAATTATACTTGAGTGTAGAGATTTTTAGATTAGTATCTTATGAATAGATTAAAAATGATGAAAGAACTAAAGTGTTGAAGGCAGCATTTCATTGCAGGAAATTAATCATATGTGAGTTCTTATTTTAACAGAAAGTTAACTATGAATAGAAAATGTTTTCTAAATTTTGTTTGCTTTCCCAGTCTTTAAGATATGCATTTAACATTTTTATTGGAGAAATATTGTATGTGTAGCAAATGGGTTGCCTGGACCATGTTTTGGACCAATTATGACCCTCCAAAAGTTTTGTTGAAGTCCTAATCCCAAATATGTGACCTTATATGGAAACAGAGTCTTTGTAGTTGCACTTATTTAAATTACCATGAGACTATATTGGAATACAGTCCTAATCCAATATAACTGGTGGTGGTGGTAGTTATGAGCCATGGAGTTGGTCTGACTCACAGGTACCCTGCATGAGGTTTCTGAGGCTGTAAATCTTTCCAGGAGCAGGAAGCCTCATTTTCTCCAGCAGAATGGCTCATTGGTTTGAATTGGTGGCCTTGAGATTAGCAACCCGACTCGTGACAACTATGACTCATAAAAAGAGGAGGAAAAACTTATAAAAAGAGGAGGAAAAACGTAGTGATAAATAAAGAACAAGAACACCCACAGAAGGAAGATGGTCATGTGAAGACACATGCAGAGATTGGAGTTATGCTGTCACAAACCAAGGAATAGCTAGGACCACCTGAAGAGGCAAGGAAGGATACCTTCCCTATAGCCATCAGACAGTGAGTGGCTCTGCCGACACTTTGATTTTGGTTTTCTGGCCTTCAAAACTATATGATAATAAATTTCTGTTTTGTAAACCACTCAGCTTGTAGTACTTTATTATAATTTCCCTAGAAAACTAATAAAGGATTCATTAGGCCTAGGCCCACAGGGCAAAAGGCTGAAGGCTGCCATGGGAAACTATCTATAGGTGTCATTCTTAATTTAGAAGGAGAGGACCAAGAATGAAATATGCCAATAATTAACTAATTATGTATGTGTTTAAGATGGAATCCTGGTGTGACACTGTAGGATAAATACTGGACTGCTAACTGCAAAGTTGGCAGTTCAAACCCACCAGGCATTCTTCAGAAACCCTATACAAGATCACTATGAATTGAAACCGACTCCATGGCACTCAAAAAACAATAATGTGTTTAAGATAGTTAGAAATAAAAAAGAAGACACATTTTAGAAGTAGAATGACCTAAGAACTTTCCCTATCCAGAAATCCTGCCTCTACGCTTGAGAGCAATGTGGAATAGAGTAAATCGCCAGTAGACATGGAGCCTTTAGATGATCATGAGAGAAAGATTCTTCTTACGAGAGTGAGAGTTCGATCAAAACCAGGGTCAAAGTGGTGAACTTTAAAGAATCTCTTCCTGTAACTAGAAAGAAGACAGAGAGCATAAAGAAGAAGAAAAGAGGAAGTAAGGAGAATAAACTAAATTAGGGAAAATTCACGTTTTTCTAGAATACTCTCCTTTTGTGTCTTAATTATCTACAATGTTTCCAATTTAAAACGGAAATATTTTTTATCAGTAAGTAGAGGTGTGACAAGGGAAGATTATAAAGCAGGAAATAAATATCAGGAATATATGAGGAGGCTTCAAAAAGTTTGTAGAAAATTCCATAATTTTTCTATTGCTTTTTTCTGTGAACTTTTTGAAGTTTCCTCAATTATATTTCTGAGGTTAAATCAAAATGTGTTGCTACTAGGATTCCAGTTCATACTTGCATGGGTTTGTTACAAACAAAATGTGCTTATACATATCTCTGAGATCACAGGATGGCTGCTGACAAGTACTCTCAATAGCACATATTTGTCTTGATCTCTTAGCATGGCTCTTTTTTTCTAAAGGTCCAATCAAAATAGCTGTTTCTGAGGGGATATACTGGGCCAGTTAAATTCAAGGAAGTTAAACTTACTGCTCAGAAAGTTATAGCAAGTGTTTTTGGGGGTTCTCAACTGGTAATAGTGGGTAAGCATGGTGTCTCCATACAATAAGCACTGGACTGTGAACTCTAAGATCCATGATTCACCATCCATGATTCACCCATCATTCCACTGGAGAAAGATGAAGCTTTCTGCTTTTGCTAAGTTTTAAAGCCTTGGAAACCCTCAACAGAGTCGCTATGAGTCAGAACTGACTCCACAGCACTTAACAAAACAGCAAGGGGTATTTGTGACATAAATCTTCATGAAAACACATGATGATCATAGGGCTTATCGGGAAAAAGTTTTAACAAAACTGAAAACTGCATTGGCGGTTTAAAAAAAAAAAAAAAGCCAGCAAAGTTGGGCCGAGGAGTTTATTTCTTCACAACAATACACTTGTTCATTTTTCTATTTAACAAGAGAATTGGGACACATTCTATTGTCTTAAGCAACTTTCATTGGGAAACCTTACCCTATCCAGCCCTAATCTTGCCCCTCAGAATTCTTTTTGTTCCCAAAATTCAAAGAACATTTAAAGGAACATGATTTGAGTCCCTTGAGGATGTCAAAACTGTCACATTGATGTGGTGCAAATTCAAGTGTGCCAAATTCTTCAGGGAAGGGTTATTGTTACTAAGCACCGTGGAGTCGGTTCCGACCCATAGTGACCCTGCACAGGGTTTCCTAGGCTGTAAATCTTTATGGGAGCAGAAAGCCTCATCTATCTTCTGCAGAACAGCTGTTGGTTTCAAAGATGAAAATACCACCCTCAGAAGTGCATAGACGTAGATGGAAGATACATCAAAATGCAATACCTTTGCATTTTGATGTTTTTGTTTGTAAAGATTTCTGTGACTTTATAGCAATAGATTTTGACTTACCTTCATATAGATATAAATTATACATTGTTCATATATAATTTTACTATATATTTGCTCATGGAGTCCTGCTGCAGCACAGTAGCATAAGCACTGGACTACTAACCTCAAAGTTTAAGCTGATCAGGCTCTCTTCTGAAATCCTGCCCTATACAGGGTTGCTATGAGTCAGAGCTGACTTGTTGGCACTTAATACATTTGTACTTAGTACTAAAATACATTTGTACATGTGTTACATACATAATATATATACAATATATACACAGCATACCCTAATATTTTTTATCTTATGTGACCATATATTTGCGAATTTTACAGATTCTATGACAGTTGCTTTCATAGATGTTATCTTATGCTGTTTTGTCACTCTGACATATTTGAATATTGAATTTTGTTTTAATTGATGACCATCAAATATTTGTCAAACACTGACTATATTTTTTGTCTTAAAATTCATAAGACTTTGTAATGTAAGTTGGGCTCACACATCCAAACCTTTTCAATCATGGGCTCAAAGTAATTTTTATAGTCTCTTAAATAAAACCTATATGATTCCAAGTTGAATTTATAATCAATGATAATTTCTAAGTAAGTTTTATGTCAATGGAATAAATAGACATTCCAATGCCGATTTCTTAGTCAGTACTTGCCCCCAAAAGATTACGGGTCATTTTTCTAGTATTTGCTACTTTTTCTACACTTCCACAATTATATTATTATACATGGTTCAAGCCTGGCGACAGGCTGCTAAGAATGCCTGTCAGGAGTGGGGGAGAGCAGGCACCCACATTCTATACAATAACTGACTCCTAGATGATCAGAGTCCTGTTGTGGGGCTGTGTGTTAATGCACTGAACTGCAAGGTCAGCAGTTCAAGCTCACCAGCCACTCCTCGGAAACCCTATACAGAATTGCTGCGAGTCGGACCCAACTCAACAGCACTTAACAACAACAAATGGTACTAGATTGGGGCATTAGAGAATATCTCAGTTGTGAATTAGGCAATCCTGACAAGACACAGTGGAGACTGTAAAGTCACGCAAACTTGAGGAAAGATCATAAGCAGTCACTTTTCCTGGTTATTTAAAGTTGTTTGACTATTTTTTATGTTGTTTTGAGTAGCCCTTGGCATATTACCACATTATACAAGCACAAAATTAATACCGTTTTGTACTAGTCTACATTTATCTACCCCGAGCAGATTTTAAACATTATTCTGTTTATGCAAAAGCCTTACAACCAAACATTTTTATAAACAAATGTAGAAAAAAAGTCAGATCTTCTCGTGCATTAAAGAAAACTCCTATGTGTTATCAAGGTATCCTTACTTAACATCCACTGTTACATTAGGCTCAAACAAGTCCTCACAAAAAAAGAAAAAGAAAAAAAAAGAGAGAGAGAAAGAGATGTGCCACGGCTTTGCTAGCGACAGCACCACTAGCCCGGCTTGAGCCCTCTCCCAGGAGACCGCCGCAGTCGGCCCGTGTGTGTGCTCCATGAGAACCAGGTATGACCGAATGACCATGATCAAAACTGCCCACTTGTCGGAGGAGATGCAACAGGCCTCGATAGAGCGCGCTATGCAGGTGCTGGAGAAACATAGCATCGACAAAGATATCGTGGCCCACATCAAGAAGGAGTTTGACAAGAAGTACAACCCCACTTGGCACTGCATCGTGTGGACACATGAAACTAAGCACTTCATCTACTTCTACCTGCGCCAAGTGGCCATTCTTCTGTTCAAATCTGGTTAAAGCATGGACTGGGCCCACACACCCAGTGATCCATCCAAAACCAAGGACTGTAGACTCAATTGCAAATACCAGAGACTGAAATCTTCAGCCTTGCTAAATTGAACACCTCCATCTTTGACCCTTCATTGTGTTGTTTTGTACAGGGTCTTCTCTGTACTAGTTAGCTGTGGTGATCAAACAATTAGCAAAACGGCTTACATTTGTATTTATTTTCCATTCCATACTTTTTCCCTGCCTCATTTTTTTCTTTGCTCACAAATTCACTCCTTTAAAAACAAATAATAAATCTGTTGGAGAAAAAAAAAAAAAAAAGGAACAGTTACATAATTTATTTTAGTCCACTTTTTGTCTAGAAAAAAGAAAACCTTTATTTTCATGTCTTCATTATTTCCTCTGAGTGATATCATTTATCTTATATTTGTAATTACAAAATAAATGATAATCATGCCACATTGCATGTGAATAATACTATCCAGTTTTCCAAATGTGAGGCTTGTTGTTGTACTTGTTAGGTGCCTTTGAGTTGTTTCCAACTCGTATCAACCCTGTGCTCAACAAAAGAAAACACTGCCTGGTTCTGCACCATGCACACACATTTGTTACAGTTACATCCATGGCTGATACCATTGTATTAATCCATTTCATTGGGGTCTTCCTCTTTTTCAGTTACTCTTCACTTTATCAAGCTTGATATCCTTCTCTAGGGACTGGTTCCTCCTAATAACATGTCCAAATTATGAGAGACAAAGTCTGATTATTCTAAGGAGCATTCTGGTGGATGTGTTTGTTCTTCTGACAGTCCCTGTTACTTTTAATATTCTTCTGCAACACCATAAACCAAATTCATTAATTCTTCTATTGTCTCTTTTATTAATTGTCCAACTTTCACATGCATATGACACTATTGAAAATACCATGGCTAGGGTCATGCACAACTTAGTCCTCAAACTGGAATCTTTGTGCTTGAACATTTTAAACAGGTCTTATACAACAGATTTGCCTGATGCAATACATCATTTGATTTCTTGACTGCTGTTTCTGATCTAACAAAATGAAGTCTTTAACAACTTCAATCTTTTCTCCATTTGTCAAGATGTTGCTTATTAGTCCAGCAGTGAGGATTTTTGTTTTCTTTACATTAAGGTGCAACCCATATTGAAGGCTGTGGTCTTTGATCTTCATTAGTAAGTGTTTTAAATCTTCTTTGCTTTCAGCAAGCAAGATTCTATCACCTGCATATTAGAAGTTATTAATGAATCTTCCTCCAATCCTCATGCCATATTCTTATTCATTTAATCTAACTTCTCAGATTGTTTGCTTATCATGCAGACAGCACAAAAATGGTGAAAGAAAACAACTCCAATAAGTACTTTTCCTGATTTTAAACTATTAAGAATTACCTTGTTCTGTTTAATGACTTAGAGTTCTGGTACAGTGCTATAGGATAAACACTGGACTGTTAACCACAAGAAGGAGGGTCAAACCCACCAGCCACCCCATAGAAACCCTATACAGGGTCTCTAAGTATCAGAACCAACTTGATGGCACTTAACAACAATATTGTTCTATGTACAAGTTCCTCGTGAGCACAATTAAATGTTCTGAAATACCCATTCTAGGAGATGTTATCCATATATTTGTAATGACCCACAAAGCCAAAAGTATTTCCATAGTCAATAAAGTACAATTAAACATCTTTCTGGTATTCTCTGCTTTCAGTCAATATCCATCTGACATCAATAATGATATCCCTAGTTCTATGTCCTCTTCTGACAATGTTTCTCTGCTATTCAAAGAGTTTTCAGTGACTAGCGATTCAGAAGTAGTTCGTCACTCTTCCTAGTCTGTCTTTGTCTGGAAGCTCATCTGAAACCTGTCCACCATGGGTGACCCTGCTGGTTATTTAAAATACCAATGGCATAGCCCTCAGAATCACAGCAACCCAAGCCACCACAGCACGACAGACAGATGAGTGGTGACCGTTTGGTTTTATGTTGATACTGTCACTTTAAATTTC